ATTTAATCCATTAGCTGGGCTAAGAATAGCAGGACCCTTTGGTGAGTTTTAGCTACTCTTAACATTTCTATTTTGGTTAAGCATAAACATGGAGCAGACAACACATTATGATAAGGTTTTTTGCAAGTCTGTATCAGCCACGAAGGAAAGAGTTGGAGGAGAAACTGGGAGAGGTTGAAGAAAGTTTGAACTCTTTAGGAAAGAAGGCAAACTCTTGCTATTAGAGGCACTAGTACAATAGTCTACAGCAGGCTGCTCTATATGATCTGTACAGGCTTCAGTTATGGTGAGTTGGATTATGCAGGTGTCTGTTGGGGAACCCTGACAGAGAGGTGTGAATGTGAAAGGGTTTTTTCTGGTTGCCTCTGGTCACAGTCCATTTCAGTTCTAATTTGCTCATCAAACTTCTAATTCCAGTTTGATGAGCAAATGGGATTTCCAAATTCCCTTAACATTAGAAGGCACTCTGTCATAAATGCAAGAATTGGCCTGATTTTAAAGAAGTTGAAACTGAGTTCTTTCCATTAGCCATTTTCTTACTGCTCTAGGAAATCTTGTGGGCCTCATTGGTGTCCTGCATTATGGTGGCAGTTCATATTTCCATTTCTTCAACAGCACTGATGGAAAGGTAGATAAACTGTCTATACTCTAATACTAGGGCTAGGTAGTGCTGACCAAAAATACTGGTTTTAGTTAATCTGGGAAATGAAGAGTGTAATAAAATCTAGAAGTCATTATAGCTATTCCTTCTAGAGGAGAAAGAGATTATCTGTCTGTTACTCTCTGTGCTACTGAGTTATCTTCTGGAGAGTCTTGGAAAAATACATCCTTTAGATCCCTCACAAATATAATTAACTAACCTCTTCATCATTTTTGGTATTCAATCTGAAGATAAACTCGTGAGATTTCTAGGCATTGTTTACATTTAAATCACATCTGTTTCCTAAATCTATTTCTATAGAATATATATTTCAATATGCTGCATATGCTCATTTGTTTGTTTCTTTTCAATAGTGTGACAAATTTCATTTTTCAGACAAGCAACATGTTTTGTACAAACAGTTTTTTTTTTTTTAAAGTAAAATGCTAATTTGTTTAAGAAAACAACCTGGAAAATATTGAGTGATATACACTATTTTAATGTGTTCTATCCAATAACAAGAACATGCATAAATCAATCCACATGGGAAAATTCAAAGCTGGAATTGTCTTCCTTAGCAATAAGTGAAGTCAAACTGTGCTGCAGAAGCAGACTCTGTCCTGGCGAGGTGTCCCCACACCTAGTCTCACTTACAGGTTGCCATGAAGGGCAGTGCCTTTAAAAATTTTTCATCTGTTTCTCACTGCACTGGTAAAAAGTTTTCCATCACCAAATTAAGTTCTTGACAGGTGAAGCTTAGTTCTTAGAGAAGGGTAGGTCTATACACTGTGCTGCAAGTAGCCATGAGACCTGACCTGATGAAGGCACTGAACCGATCCCCAGTTTCCTTCCACGTGCAGACATGTTTAAGCTGATGGGCAGACCTGGTTGTTTGAACTTCACTCTAAAACCAATTGCTCTTATTCAAAGGTGTAAGTTCAAATGTGAGCAAGTTCATTGGATATCACCATAGTATCACATGGATATTTAATCAGTCCCATGGGCAAATACTTAAATCTGTAAGAAAGACGGAATCCAGATATTTTTTTCTTTGAGTGGTTTCCAGGTAGTTAGTTTGCATGTTTTCCTTCTTAGCTGGAACACTCACCCAGGAGTTTCACAGTTTGGTGGGGCTTTGGTGCTTAGGTTGGATTTCTGAATTCCATTCCTAGAGCTGGATGCCTGAAAATTCCTCACAACAGACATGTCAGTGTGACCACACCCTTTTTGTGGAAATCTGTGTCTTCAGTGTTAGAATTTCTTACAGTATTTTCATAGACACTGTGGAAAAAATCAGCCAGACAATTCAGAATTCCTTTAATAAATATTACAACAATGATTTACAGTCTGATTTAATTCCAAAATTTTTCCAAGTTACCTTGAATCTTTGTTTCATTCTCCCCTGTAACTTCCCAGGGGAAAAATGTTTTGGAATTGGACCCACAGACAAGGCACTTCTTACCAAAACAGAAAGTGAATTCTAAAGTTTGGTAACACTTTGTGGCATGGCCTCTATGCTGACAGCTGGACAAGACACAGAATTAATTTCTTTTTTCCAAGTACTCTTATTCCAAGCCAGCTGTGTTCACTTGTATGCAAAAAACCCAAACACACAGAAAAAGAAGTCCAGCAATTATACTCTATGTAGGGAAAATAGAACAAAGCCAATTGCCAGATTTTTACAAAATCTTCATTGCTTTGGGAGTTAAATCACTGTTTCATAAGGGAATTATTTTCTCTTGCACTGTATTCATTTTCTAAATCTGTTTAAAGCATGCGTAAGGGCGTGTTGCAATAATCTCCAGGTTACGAAAACATAGATCACTGTGGCAAGGTCTGCATAAATAATACCAGGCCTTTGCCCAGGACTGGGTGGGAAGAAGTGAAATCATCATAATTGCACAGATTAACAACAGCATGAAGTTGTCTGGGAAAGGGGAAACATCACCACGAATAGTCACACTCAGTCAGCTCAGTGTCCACATGGAGATCAGTGATGAGTATGGTTCCTCGCAGATCGCTGTTGGGATCAGTTGTTATGCACCTTTGTCAGCAACACAAACAGTGGGATTGAGTGCACCCTCAGCAGCTCTGCTGATGGCACCAAGCAGTGTAGACAACAACAAGCTCTAGGGGAGAGATGCCAGCCAGAGGGCCCCTTGAGAGGTGGGCTCATGGCAACCTTGTGAAGTTCAACAAGGCGGTGTGAAAGCCTTGTGGCAATTCTGATCACCTCGGAACAGAGAATAGATGAAGAGCAGTCCTGAGGAGAAAGATCTGGGGTGTTGGTTGGTTGATGAGAAGTCCAAAATGATCCAGCAATGTGTACTTGCAGCCCAGAAAGCCAACAGCATCCTGGGCTGCATCAAAAGCAACATTGAGGGAGGTGATTCTCCCCCTCTACTCTACTCTCATGACACCCCATGTAGAATACTGCATCCAACTCTGGGGCTCCAGTATAAGAATGTTGGAGACATTCCGCTTGGAGATAGTCAAGAGGAGGGACATGAAGATAAGAAGGCTGGAGCACCTCTCCTGTGAAGACAAGCTGAAAGAGTTGGGCTTCATAAGAGAAGGCTTTGGGGACACCTTGTGAGAGCCTTCCAGTACTTTCAGGAGGCCTACAAGAGGGCTGGAGAGCAGCTTTTTACAAGGGTCTGTAGTGATGAGACAGGGGTAATGATGGAAAAATTTAGATCAGATATTGGGGATGACTAATACTCTTAAACTAAGGTTAGCCTTGTGATGAGGCTCTTGTCCCAAAGATCCATCAGGTCAATGTAGAAGAGGCTTCTTCCTTAGAGAAGTTATTCAGAAAAGACTCTTAAGTTTAGAAGGCCTGAACTGGCCCCTGAAAAGGCCCACTTCTCTACTGGCTTGTTAGGAGAACATAAGGACAAGGTTTTCAGCATTAAGTCTTCATTTGTACCAGTAGTTGTGCCTTATGTGAGGATTTCTACACCTGTTTTTCATCATAGACTTCTGTTCTTTCAACTACGCTCTAGTTAGAGGAACTAGCTTCAGAAGCAGACTGTTCTGTAAGAGAAGAAGACAGACTTAAGGAAGAAAACACCCCAGCTTTTTCCACAGTGCCTTCTGGTCCTGAAAGGTGTAGTGCATTTAACATACCCAGTGCTGCCAGAGCAAGGAGAATGTGTTGGTATCATGTGAGACTAAACTGGTGACAGAAAGGCACTGCTTAGCCCTTTTGCTGGTCCCAGTCTGTAGGTTTCTTCTATTGCTGTAGTGACCCTGCTTAAACATTCCCCATATGTATTCAGTGGGGGGAGCAGCATAAAAGTCTTCATAGTATTTAAATTTCATTCCTATTAAATGTAATTCCATTGTGTTTCCCTAAGACATGCAAGTGGTAAAAGCACATACATATTTAGAAGCCATGAGTTTTAAGGGGATGTGTTCTCAGGGCTCTAATGAAAAGCATTTAGCAATCTGATAAAGCAGTTTATACACATTCCCCCTATAACAGTGTTTCCTGTTTTAACAGGATTAAGCCTTGTTCAGCGTTTAAGACCAGACTTCAAGCGAAAATATTCATCAATGTTTGATGATAACACTGTGGCTGAATATATCTATCACTGCAATGTACAGTCACCCAGGTGAGTATGAATTTCCCAGTGTATGTTTTGTAGTCTCTTGTTCATTTACTGAGTGCCTGCTACTCCCTCCAATGGCCATGGCAGCAGTGTGCATGCTGGTTTGGTTGTTTTTTTGATTGTGTCATTTATTATATTGAAGAAAAAAGTACCATTGCACTTTTTCTGAATTCCAGATACTGATAAATGTAAAAAGTATCCTAATTCTGTATTTATTCTCAATTTATGTTAATTCTGTGAGAGTTTGGGCATTTCACTTAAATAACTGTTGGAGAATTTTAATGTATAAAGAATTTCTTTTAAAACTGTAAAAATAAGGCATTTCATTCTTTGAAGTGCTACCACTCAGTCATGCAAAAACCTTCTGTTTTTGTTCAACAGGCTCTTCCTGTTGAACATTATATGTAAACCTTGGAAACTTAGTGTTCTTAATTGTAAAAAATCCCAACCTCATGTACTCCATCCTGCCAAAAGGCACAGATACTCCATTTTAGATGAAAAGCAGATCCAATGGCAATTTAAATTGGTTTTTACCCTTTCTAATGCCTTGAAGTGGTGAAACAGCTTTCAAGAACATGACAATTCCTTATGGATGGGCAAAAAGGCCAATGCTGCAACGGATTTCACAAATGGATCAAGACATTCCTATCACAGTGGTCTATGGAGCACGTTCGTGTATAGATGGCAATTCTGGCAGCACTATCCAGTCTCTGAGACCAAATTCCTATGTGAAGACAATAGTAAGTTTGACTTCTAAAGCAGTTGTTTGTTTCTTGTGTGGATTTCTTTAAGTCATAACAATGTGGCCAGGTTGGATGGGGCCCTGAGCAACCTGTGTGGAGTTGTCCCTGCCCGTGGGGTCGGAACTAGATGAGCTTTGAGATCCTTTACAACCCAAACTATTCTATGACTCTCTTTTTTCATACCAGCTGTGGAAATGGTGTCACTTTTGATTTAGAGCCTGGGGTAATAAGTTCTGTTTTCTGTAACAGAGAGAGAGAAAACAAATGTTACATCAGAGAAAACCTAGACAAAAGTGTTGAGTCCCCAGGCTAAGAACAAAACTTGCTGTAACACTAGAAGCCTAGGTGATTCTTTATTTTGTTCTACAACATGCTAATAGAAGTAGATATTGTGGTCACTGTGTTTCAAACCACACCAGTCCTATTTCCATGTATATATAAGATAGTGGGGAGGCTCTCATAAACTCTTTTCATCTGTCTGTATAATACATTTGTTCCTTTGATAAGAGAGCAGTTTGTACCTGCTGCTTAGGATCTTGTGAGCATCTTTCTTTAAGTCATTAAAAAATTAGTTAGTGTTGTATCACTACCTAAGATGTTTTTGTTTAGAGGTATGATATTGTCGTTTAAAATGTGCATATTTACAGCTTGATGTGAATGTGCACACTGCATTTTTTGTCGTTGATTTCTTTAAAAACAAACTAATTCAAAAGTATTCTTCACACATTTTCACATCAGTCAGCTGTGATAATTGAATATGCATACATGTTAAAATGCTGTGAGGTGATAAAATGTTTGAGCACACCAGCTGTGATGTTACTGATATCTGGAACTATCTGGACAGAAGTGTACAGTATGTAGTGCTGATTGTATACTATAACAAGTCACCCAAATAAAATTTTATAACTTGATACAGCTGGATTTAGAGCTGAAACTCAGAGAAAAGACATTGTTATCCAGCTGTTTTAAGTGTGTTAAACAGCACAGATACATTTCATAAATGTTGACGTCCAGACTGAAATTGTTACTTAACTGCTGAACCAGAGAGAGGGAGTTGTAACAGAAAGTCAGTGTTAAAATTTGTACAATATATTGCTGGGATAAGTTTATACCATTCAGGGAGATTTTCTGCACTCTAGTCAGGGACTTATAGAAGGAACTGTAGAAAATGGTATTATATTCCAGGCTAAAATTTTGCCAAGCCACATACAGATTCTAAAAGGTAAATTGGAGTGGTAAAATTGCAGGCATGCTCAAAAACCCATAGGAGGGCAAGGGCTTTAATGAGATGGAGATGTGGACTTGGCAGTGCCATGCTTGGTAAAATGCACAGAAATTCTGTGGTTTTGTTACATGTATTTATTCCTAACTAATTTTTACTTTGAGTTTCTGGGAGTTTTTAACACAATAACATAGCTATATTTGTATGACATTTGGTTAGAGACTTGAGAGGGTGTTTTAAGGAGGGGAGGGGAAAATAGTTTTTTTTTTTAAAGGTTAGTTCTGGACTGACTGTAAAATAGAGAGCAGGTCACGTACCTTTGCTGTACACTGTGGTGACAATTTACTTCATAGCATTTTTACAGATAATAACAAATTTTAGAAGTAGGCTATTTGAGTGGAGAGTGAAGGGACTTAAGATGCATCAGAAATTTGGTATGCAAGGCTACTAAATTTGTTGTGCACTGACTTGTTAATGCCTCCATGGTGGGTTTTTTCTTTTACCCTCTTCCTTGCTGTTTATTTTACTAAAAGGAAAGAGATTCATGTTAGGTTTCCATAAAGCAGCACAAAAAAGTAAAATATAGTGTTTTGAAATAAAATATAACATACCTCCAGTAGTCCAGACATTCCAGAAAACCATAGTTTCATGTATGCATTTTCTAAGATTATATTATCCACAGAATGCTGCATCTCTTTTATCTTGAAAACTCTGACTTCTCCTGTCTGCTATTCCTTACATATATGTTATAGTCAGCTAAAACTGCTTCTGAACTCTCATCCTCCAGAAGCTGGTAAACTCCAATCCCAAGAGGTGGCAGATGTTCCACAAAAGACATCTGTTGGGAGCAAATAAGTAGTCATTACTAAAAATAGCAGAATATCAGCTTTCAACAAGGTGAGCAGTTGAAAAAGCAGTGGTTTTACTTTCTTTTCCTGTGTAGGAAAGTTTCTTTACAAGGAAAGAATATTTTGGTATTCCTTATGTTTAGAGCATTTTTTAGGTTGCGTGATGCCAACTCTTAGGTAGTGTGTAAAAGCCAGGTTCTTCACCTGTCCCAGTATTTATTTGTTTATTACATATTGGTGATACTGACGTGCTTCTTCACCTTTATCCTCCAGGCTATCCTCGGTGCGGGTCATTACGTGTACGCCGATCAACCTGAGGACTTCAACGAGAAAGTGAAAGACATCTGTGACTCTGTGGACTGAGTGTCCTCTGTTCTTTAGAAAGTCATACCATAGATAGCATTTAATGGCAATACTCTCTAGGAAATCACTAAGGAATGCAGAGCTAATGGAACAGGCTCTGCTTGCACACTGTTTCTTCTAAGAAGCCATTTGCACACTTAAACCACTGAGTGCCTATTTTTGGGGGGAATGAAGAGATTTGAAGCTAACTTTGTACAGCTTTTTTTTTTAATTGTCCTGTCAGATACAAAATTACATGTAACTTTTGAAACTGGAATTTTCTTCAAAATTTAATTGAACTTTGCACATGTTGAGCTCTAAAAATGCTGAATTCTCCAACATGGAGAACTGTATCAATAGAGATACAATGTACCAAATGCAATTTGGTTTCTTTATGAATACTCGTACTTTTAGCTGATGTTTCTTTATGAATGCTCGTACTTTTTAGCTGATGTTTCATAGCAAGAATATGAAACTGCATATGTATTTTATTTTTGGAACCCAGAACTCCATATACAATATTTTAAGAGGGTTTGTTTTTTAATTGAAGTGGTAACAGCTTATGAAACTGATTTTGGGAAAGGGATGGGGCCAAAATAATGAGCAATGTCTGTCACTGAAATATGTTTGTTAGTTTATAAGAATTTAAAGCTCAATATTGGGAAATCCATCTTCTGTTGGATTTTATTTCCATTTATCTCAAGGCATCCTTTTCCATCTGTGCAACTTTTACGGAAGACTCAGTTTGTAAGAGTCGATGATGTCACCAGCACTCATGCTTCCATAAATATTTTGATGTGCAGATTTCTGTGATTTAAAATACAGAAGATGGCTTGTTAGTTACTCCACCTATTTTTAACACTTTACTGCACGATTTGTTACTAGTCTATATCTAACAGTTGTGGGTAAGCTGATAAGATTTTGATTAGGGCTAGGAGATATCCACCTGGATAGTGAGCCTATTTCCCATTTTCTTTCAGTAGAAAGCCTAGTCCATATTTTAGTGAATTTGAGCTGAAGGAGAGGCAGAATATTGATGTTCTCTAATTGGGGACTACAACAGCTTAATGTATTTTATTTAAAATTCAGCCTCCTTATAGGAAGGATTATTATTGGAATGAACAATACCACTGTAATGAATTATAATTACATGTTTTGGAGATTGTTTATATATTTTAATTGAGTATTTCAATATCAGAGATAGTTCAGTCTCTGCTACTTTTTGAATTATAGTTCGATGTTAGTACTTCACATGCCTAGTAAATTATATTAAGAAAAATACTTTGTCACTTTAAAGCCAAATAATGTGGTGGTTTATTTTTTAACAAGTTTACATAAAACTATTGATCAGTTTTTGAATATACAATTGACTACTGAAGAGTTCTTGATACTTTTATACAAAGAGAATTTGAATTAATGATAGCACCGTCTTAAAGCTTGAATTATGTGCATTTTTTTAATCAAATTAAGGAATCATTGCACATATTTATGAAGTGGAAGGCAAAGATACCTAAAATATTCAGGAGATAATGTGATTATGTTCCCCAGCAGAACATAGTCTCTCTTACTGAAGGAGATATTTATCTATACGGTGCTATGTAAACATCAAACAGTTGTTGTGACTGCCTTGACTGGTAGCACTTCATATCTAGCAAGATAAATATTTTAATTAAAAATAAGTATTGAATTAAATTACTTTTTCAATTAGCAGATGCCAGAACTGTAAAACAAAATATTGAGTTATTTGCTAAAGTCTTGAAAATATAAAATCAGAATTATCAATTATCAATTCAATTTTTTAATATAAGCTATAAATTATCAGTCATGCCACCATTTAGGTGGATGCCTTCAGCATGTTGGTTATTTTTCACCCTTTTCAGTGTCTTATTTTTTATTTATCAACTTAAACAGCTGTTTTTGTTGTGCATAAAAACCTAATGCAAAAATAAATCTTGAGTCTTCTCCAAATAATAAAAGGTGAAACAAATTATTGGAATTTTCAGATAGCACTTACTGATGGGAATTGTAGATTCCGCATCAAAAGTTGGAAGTAGGGATAAAAATTGCACACTGGATGTGAATATTGTTTTAAATATACCTTGCTTTTTCAGCTTATTGTACTAATAAGACTTATTGCTTATGTTTTGCACAATAAAAAAGTTCTTTAATGTTATATTTTATTAATGTTATGACATTATATTGCTTTTTAAAAAAAATTATGTGCAATTAAGCCCTGGAAATCAAGAGTTATTAGTAAGTTGAGGTAAATTATCCAAAATACATTAAAAATATATTAATGCTTATTTTCAAATGTCTCAATGTTCTTAGGTTTCCTTGTATTTAACTGAAGCTAGTGAGTGTTTGTCAACAAGCAGCTGCAAGCTGAGAATGTTGTTTGTATGTATAAGGAAAAGGATTCTGTGCTATCTTCCAGGAAGTATTAGATGCTACTGTGAAGGTCAAGATGGAATTCGGAATGTCCTACTGTGTGCAACATAATCTGCTCAAATTACTTTAATAAATGTCATAGGAGGTGCTGAACAGAAAATGAATGGCTGAAAAGACTTGGGAGCTAGACCTTTTGTGGGCAATTACTGTTCAGAAATAATCTCAGTTTCTCCAGGAGTTCTGTTTCAGTGCAGTGACCAGTTGCTTAAATGTACTGTGGTGAGCACTGAATGCTGATGATGCTGTTTTTGTTACAGCACTATAAAATAAGACAAGAATAACAGGCATAGAGGCACCCAAAGATCTATCCCATTCTAACATCAAAATGAAGACAGCTGTGTACCAGAGGCTAGAGCATAACAAAAAGAATCCAAAATATTAATAAAAATCCAAGATAAACTGCCTAAATCTCCAGGACACACTCTTCCTGACGTTGTTGTGATAAAATTTATTTAAAGTAACTTAGTAATATTTTGTTTGACATGGCTGAGTTCATCTTGTTACTTATTGAACCCTGCCAGATTAGATTTTAGTTCTGAAAACCTGATTTTCAGAGAACTTGTTGATAAGACTCTATAATAAAATGTTTGGAACCATCACAAGGAAGTCCCTGTTTGTATCTGATTGTGAAATGGAAATGGAAAACGTGAACTCTTATGTGTTGATCTTGGAAAAATGGGTCCAAGCAAGAGAAATGTCATCATGTGGTTTCCCTTGGATTAAACCGATGCTGGCTTTTCTTTTTTAAAGTTAGCTTTTTAAGGTTGCTGCAACTGTTTGTGCTGAACCGGTGTGCCAGTCTCTGCCTGAAATGCTTTGTGTGGTCATTGTGGTTCCTCAAATTCCCAGCCCTTCCAGATCACAGTTACTCAGCTTTTGCAGTGGGATGAAAACAAGACTAAATGCAATAAAAACATCTGGAATCAATGTATGGGCAGACATTTTCAGGAATGCCTGTTTTGTTAGCCTTCATTAAAACATGAGCCTGCAGAATATTAAGGCTCACAGTCAAGTGCTTTCAGATGGGTAATTTCTTGGAGCTCCTTGGCATATCTGTAATTTTGTTGGGTTCTTTTGGCCGTTTGACCATCAACCCATCCTACAGTCTTTGAGCATGGCAGCACAGCCATTGAGGGATTTATCTTTTGTAGGAAATACAAGGGAAACTTGTGAAAGGATGAGGCACTACAGGAGCTGAAGAGAGACACATTTTAGGGGGACTGGTAAGATCAGAACAGGACACAGGTGTGTGCAGAAACTTCCTTCTGGTGTTAGTGGCAGCAGGTGGAAATGGATGGAGCTTTCAGGTTTTCAGGCAGGTGATGGGCACAGGGCAAACGGAGAGCAAAGGCACGTGGCTGGAATGACAGCCTACAGCACAAGGAACAGAAAGAGCTAGAAAAAAATGAGGCAGCTGGAAACAGCAAAATTCAGCTGAAGAGCTTTGGGGTGGGAACATTCAAGAGCCAGTCATCAGCTCTGGAGGAGGATGAGAAAAATGGTGAAGGAAAGGTTTGGGGTGTCTGGTGTGCATGTAACAGAGCTTACCAAGGTAAGGAGGACACCTGCAGTGCCAGCTGGAGGGAAGTCTGGTTGGAAAGCCTGGATCTACACTATATGGATGGGGCACTTTAAAGTTTTGGTGTCCCTCCTTTGACTAAAGCTTGTCCTTGGAAGGCAAGTGCTTTTTCCCAAGCTGGACACCATTTCCTCAGACTGGTACTTGGACAGGAACCTTAAAAGAATTACCTCTCATGAGAAACTGACTTCCACAAATCAGAAGTGAGCTGATGGCAAAGCATGTGATGGGGGGGTCACTGGACTGCCTGAGGTAAGATGAAAAATCAAGATGTACAACAAGACTTGTCACTAAAGATCATAAATTCATCTTTTACAAGAGGAGTGGCTCTGTTCCAGTTTGCCTTGTCGCTTTTGATCACAGGGATATCCTACATTAAGGTTTGGATGTGGGTAGTAGAATGTAGAAGGATAAGATACGGAAATATTTGCCACATATACTTCAAAAATAAGAAGCACAAGTAGCAGGAATGTACTGAAGACATTTTTAGATATGTACATAATTTGCATTAGTAATTAGCAGCAAGATGAAAGTGGTGACAACAGTACAAGTTAGGTGTTTGCTTGCATTTTATGCTTCACTTGCAGAGGAGAGCTCACAAACTGAAACTGTTAGTTTTGGGAAGGGGCAGGGCTGTAAAATGAAGTGTGACCCCAAATGCATGCTAAGGAGTAGATGTGCTTTGAAAATGAACTACTGCAAAGGCAGGATCTCCGTACATTTACAGGTCTATTTCTGCACTCGAATTCACCTACTGGATGTGTAAATGACTGGAGCTGTGAATGGAGCGAGGTGCGGCTGTCACTTCCTTTGTAGTGTTGTGAGAGTTAAATGCTTGCCTGATACCCACCTACCTTTCTGCTTTGACTTTATTTAAGGATTCTCACACTCACTCAGAGCTCAAACCTAAAATGGAGGCTAAAGAGCTCAATCCATGCAAATCCCCCAGCTAGAGACCCCCTCTGAAAAGGAGATTATTACTCACGTCTACCCAAGATTTGTGTTCTTCTTGGTGGCTGCCAGGAGTGAGATTTCTCGTCCTGCTGGACACTGAGCCCCTGTGTTCAATCATATGCCATGGCCAGTTCTGCCTCATGAGTAACCCAGTAGATGCTTTGGTGAGTACAGAGTTGAGGAAAATAACCTGCAAGCACAGTGGAAGGAAGACTCCGGTAGTGGGATCGTGCATGGGGGAAGAAGGACCAGCACATGATGATTCCTGAGAGTGGTGGGAGGGTGAGCCCCATCCAGCACTTGACCCTGGTTTGTTTCCCAGCTGGCAGGGCCTGAGCACCCTGCTGCTGTCAGATTTGCTTGCTGCACACCCCCAGCTCACAATTTATTTCCCCATGTCCAGCTCCCTGAGCTGCAGGATGAAGCCTTTGAGCTCCTTAAACACCTCTGTCCAAGCATTCCACCAGCAGTGAGCCTGCTCACAGCTGAAGCGACTGTGGCTGTTTCTGCAAAGGAGCTTGGCAGAGCAGCAGTGGGTGCAGGTAAGGCACAGAGGAAAGTGAGAAGCCAGCTGGCTCATCCCCTGGCACTGACTCTTTCCGAGCTTGCAGCCCCTCCCTGTGCTCAGCAAGAGGCCTGGCCACGCAGGAGGTTCCCAGTCAGGAACGCATCTCCTGGCCAAAAGTTGTAGAATCACAAATTAGGTTGGGTTGTAATCTAAGATTTCCTGAACCCTGAAAGCTGCATCCAGCCTGAATTACCTTCATGAAGATCTCCCATGTCTCAGTCCTCATGCCAATGACTAACTCTTCTGCACAGGCAGGATTGGGCTGCACTGGGGGTTTGTGCATTTCCCTGAACAGCTTCTGGGCTTTGTGACATCTGCCATGGTTCCTGACAGCAAAGCCTGCCTGAGTACATTAGTTAGGGGCCATGCTTTGTTCACACAAAACAACAGTTCAGGTGTGTCACGGGCAGCTGTCATCAAAATGATGCATAAACTGTTTTTTGAATACAGACAGATTTCAGCAGCAGTTTGGGGGACAGCAGCTGCTAAGCACACAGTAGTGTTTGCCTGTTGTAGAATGGCTATAGATTTGTTTCATGAGGGTTCTAAAAATAGTTTTTGCTAAAATGCTGGAGGGATAGTGAGAAAATGAATGCATTTATTTTTATCCCAGCAATATCTGGAAACAGATGAAAATCCAGCCAGGTGAGTGAATCCAACCTCTCATCAAGTCATATCATTAATTGAGAGCTAAATTATTACAACATTATTTTCCCCAGCTCCTTCAGTACAAGCCAGCTCCCAGCTGGGGCCGTGCATCCCTACCACCCCAGTATCTCCCTGTTGGCCTCGTGGAGCAGGGATGGCAGGAGCAGGGAGGGAGGGGGACACTGTCCCCTGCTTTCCTCCATCGGCTGGGAAGCTGAGGCTCGCTTCTCCTTTGCTCCATCAGTTCTCCGCAGACCCCACTAGAGGGGACACGGCGCTCCCGAACCGCCCCGGCAATTCCTGCGGGCTCCGACTTCTGCACGGCGCTGCTTTTACAGAAAGAGCTGCACTGCAATTTCTCCTTCCACGCTTGATAGATGGATACCTAAAGGCATGGGGCAGGGCTGAAATAGGCATTCCAGTCATTTGATTCACGCCTGTTATATGGGAAAGGGCAGGTTGTGGAAGGGTGAGTGTAGTGCCTTTGCATTAATGCAGATCCCTGCAGTACCGCATCTTTGTTTTATTTATTCTAATGCCTTTTCACAAGGCAGAAATTAAATCCACAAAGAAAGGCTAGACGTTGGAAAGAGGAGGGGGAGCACAAATGAACCTCCTCTATTATTGCAGACGAGCCCCAGAATGAGAATAAATGGTGATAAGAGGAAAAAATAGCTGCGACAGAATTATTAAATAAGGGGCAACTTTTAAAGTGGCTCCAGTCTGGCTTCTAATTTTGTTCCTATAATTTGATTGTGGATTTAAATGGGACTGCTTAGACATTAGATACTTCATCTGCAAGCAGCAGCAGGTGAGCAGTGCAGGGGTATGTGCCAGGCTCCCCTGGTGCTCCCTGCCCGCCTGCAGAGAGGGATGGAGGGCAGGGGACAAGCTCCCTCCTGCCCGCCACAGGCAGGTGTGGGGGCCCCCAGAAATGGGCTGAGAAATGGGGCACGGAGCATGGACCCCACAGGAACCCCCCATCTGTGCCAGCCTCGCCTCTCGCTCCGGGAGATGCAGCAGCACCTGGCTGGCCGTGCCCTGGGACAGCCTTCAGTGAAAAACAGCGCAGGTACGGCTGCAGAAGGCTGCCAGGGGCTGGCACCAGCACAAGGGCACCGCCAGCCTCCATTGCAGCCTGCCGCCACTGCATGTCACTGTTAGGACAGAGCCACCCGGACTGAGGTCTGTGCGGCTCTGGTGGGGACAGACCCCGCCATCCCCCGGTGGCACCGCCCTGTGGAGATGGGCTGTGGGAATCCAGCACACAGGGCCTGGGGGAAAGCAGTCAGAAAACTGAGTGTGCCCTGCAAAAATGGGTTGTCACTGAAGTGACAGAAATGAGTAGTCTGAATTATGTTCCATTAAAAGAGTGGGGCATTTTCTGAGACAGGCACCAAAGTAGAACCTGGTGTGGATAACTGGGGACAGGGGAGTAGGAAGTGCCTTTCCTCACTGGGTCATTCCCAGTCAGCCCAGTTCCTCACTGGGGCAACTGAGGTTGCACCAACTCCTGCTGAGGGGAAGGGATGGTTCACCAGACCTTAATGGTAGGATGGTCCCCCATGGACCATGTGGGAGCTGGGGCAAGGTGAGATTCCTTCTGTCAGCTCCCCCACTCAGGATGGGAATCAGCCCATAGCCCATAGCAGGGAGCAGGATCTGGCCCTATTACAGCAAGATCATGGGCTGGCTGGGATGCCAAGGGGTGCTGGGGCAAACCTGTGAGGCTGAAAGTTCACCCCATGGTTTAGAGGATTTATGGTCACAGCTGTGGCAGAGCCCATATGGGCACTGTGCAACTGGGCACCTGCCTTCCCTGCCTGGGTGCTGATGGTGCAAGAAGAGGTGACACCTTGGCCCATGCCATCCCCCTTGTCTGCATTCCTATTTCATGTTGGAGGTGGGATTAAGGTGACAGACTGCATGAGGGTTGATCATGTGTCTGCCTCAGAAGCACCTGCTACAGAAACAGGGCATGATTCACAGTTCAAGGGGAAAACTGTGCCAGGCCTCAGTCACCAGGGGACATGGCTGTAAGTAAAGCAGAGGCTCTTGCCCTTTGTGGCCTCAGCCCCATGTGCTCCTGGACATCTAACAACACTCTCTGGAAGCAGAGATATATGCAGAGAGGGGAAGGAAAAACACCTGCAGAAACATGACCTCTTTGTTTGATGGGAGATACAGAAGGAGAGGTGACATTGCTGCAGCCAGGAGTGCACTTATGACACGGGCTCATGGGGGGCTGCAGTGTCACCATATGCAAAGCCATGTTTGATCCACCCAATGCCTATATTCATCACCATGTGTTCTAGCTGCTGCTAGACAAAAGCATTGTCATGTCCCATTTGAGGAGATCACCTGGGAGATGTCCATGGCATCCTATTACTCTTGGGACCAACCATCTCAGCACTTGTCATATCATCTCCCTGTCATATCATCTCCCTGCTGCTATCTGCCCTCCATGGTCCATTACCACTGAACCCAAGTGCCTGGCCCAGACCCTGTGGCCAGGTCACATCTCTCTGTTGCTCCTGAGGGACTCAGTGTTGGGATAGGAACAATTTAGCAGCCCAGCACTTCCTGCAATACTGAATTTCTTAGAGCACCTTTCAGATGAAACCCTCTAAAACGCTCAGCTGCTTGGCAGATCCCCCCAGCACACTTGCCCAGGCTGTTTGTCTCAACAGGATATTAAAAAGAAGAGGTTATAAAAGCGAGGCACGATACGAGGCGAGGCTTAGCTCGCAGCAGCAACATTTATATCCTCTCTGCAGCTCATGTTCAGCAAGCAGGAAACATCTGCAGCCCTCACTGCCCCCTCCTCCTGGGCTACCACACTCCCCTGGGGGCTCTGGTGCTGTGATGGCAGTCGAGTACACAGGTCCCACTGGGCTGCTTTCTCGTGGGGGAGCAGGAAGCCTGTTCCAGCTCTGCCTGGGGCAGCCAGCCCTGCCTGGGTTGTGTTGGCTGCCTCTGGTCCTTCCTGCAGCATGGACTGTAGTCCTGTGCTGTGGGTGGCTTCTCCTCAGCACAGACACCTCACTTAAACATTGCTGCTTACCTTCAACCTCCTCTGCTTCTGCTCTTGGCTGGATTTCCTGGTGGTACCCTGGTCCTGATGACACCCTGGTCCTGGTGGCACCCTGGTCCTGGTGACACCCTGGTCCTGGCTCACCATGCCAGGCGCTGTCCATGATCTCCAGGTCCAACCCTGCTCCAGCAAATCCCCATCACTGGCCAAGTTGTGTTTACTCAGTTTCCCAAAACTGCTGAAGAAAACTCCCCTTTGCTATTTGATTCCCACCAGCTCCACATCTGGTTAATCTTTCAGGGCAAATGGTGTTTCTCATGACATTATCAGGGAAAGAAAGAAAGATCAGGCATCACATCCTGCTGGGCCCCAGGTTCTGGAGGTGCCCCAGCCAGCACAGGGTGCAGAGGGTGAAGCAATGAGTAGGCACACAGGGCTATCCACTGTGACATGAAATGGCATCTCTCAATTTTAATATCAAAACAGCTGGCCACATTTTCTCAATGTGTGCAGAGACAGCTTCCTGTCCAGCTCCAGATCCCAGTGATCAGGAACACATGCAAAAGAGATTTCTCTCTGTCATGGCTGCCCACTCTCATAATTGTTTATTCCTTTTTGCCCCTAGCCCCCCAGTCATTGTTCTCCTTCTTCCTCCCTTCTGATTTTACAGTCACTGGATAGACAGGCTCACAGGCTATTTTTAGTTTTCTAAATTACTTTTCAGATCTATTCTAAATTTGTCTCCCAATAATCTGAAATCTTGACATCTCAGGAGTGAAAACTAAATCTGAAAAAGGGGGGAAAGTTTAAGGTCTTTCTTACTGGGCTGGACCCCTTCGTTGTGGCAGTCTCTTGGTTTTCCTTCTCATCTTTCACCTGTCCCACAACATGCACCCTGACCATCCTGATGGGCAAAGGGTGGTTATTCCCACCCAAGCAG